TATATAATATATGTAAATAATATAAATATATATATATATTTGTACCAGGGATTGAACTCAGCCTTATACTTGTAAGATAGGGAGCAGAACCACTAAGCTAAATCCCCAGCCCCCAAAACATAATTTTAATAGTAATTATAAAGATGGTATTTGACAGAACAAAGAATAACTCACCAAGAATACCACATAAAGAGGAATAGAGTCCTGGAAGACAAGCTATGCTAAGACATTTAATGACTTTCAATACACCAGGGACAGGATGTGAAGTGATTGTTTTAGATACATATACATTTGATACATGTCATCTTTATTGAGGCTGTCTTCAGAAAGATTATCTGATTAATTTAATCTGCAAGGTAATCTTCCTTACTCTTATGGGACCAGGCAATGGAGGGAATTCCTTTTTGTTTGTGAAAGTTTTAGCCTATGAAGTAAGAAATGTTTTTAACCTTGTTGGCAGAACAGTCTGGGGTTTCCTAACTGGAGTTAGCATGACCAGGAACACCTCTGTTTTTGTGAATTATATGTGCAATTTTAGGGGAGATGCCAAGAATGAATCAATACAGTTTATTCTCATCCACTTGGCTTTTATAAATATCATAGCACCTCTTTGCAAAGGAATGCCAAGGACAACAGCAGCTTTAGGTCTGAGAAACTTCCTAGATGATACAGAAAGTAAAATTGTGGTTTTTTTCTAGGGAGGCTGGCCTGGGGCCTGTCCATCTGCAGCAGAGCTCTCCTAATGGGGGTCCAGGCCGTCACCATCATCCCCGGACAGTCCAGGTGGAGGAGGCTCAAGTTCATCCTTCCACTGCCCCTCTTCTTCTTCTGGGTTTTCAGTTCCTTGATTGGCATGAACTTATTCTATTCATCACAAATATCAGAATAAACACACAACAAATTAGTAAGCATGACAACTATTGTAATTTTATGCCCGAAAGACAGAAAATGAAATGGGTTTTCCTCTTGCTCATGGTCCTACAGGATGCTGTGTTTCAGAGTATCACATGTGGGGCCAGTGGCTACATGGAATTTGCTTTCCACAAGCATCACCAGCGGATTCTCCCCCTGCAGAGTTGCAAGTTCTTCTACAAAACCCCTCCTGAGATCAAAGCTGCCCAAAGCGTTCTTCTGAAGCTTTGTTTTCTTTTCCTTCATTGGACAGCAGGTGGCAGCACTACCCAAAGAATCGAGCAAGAGAGTCAGCAAGCCTGAAGGATGGACAGGAGCTAGCTATGGAGTTTTAGGGCTGCAGGTGACACACAGTGCTGTCGTGACTTTATACAAGTTTCTGGGCCTAAGGTAAGTGCCAGGATTAATTTATTTTGTGAGAATTTAATGAACTTTAGCCATTAATAGCAAGTTTTGGAAGAGAGCAAGGAGACCAGAGGAAAAAACTTTACCCAGAACAGAAGACAAACGTAGTTGGATAAATGTGAATTTGTATGACCAGGCTCGTGTTTTGTGGTCTCAGGCTGTCAGAGGAGGGACTTATATACCTGGAGGGAAGGCACTGAGTTAGAAACATGTGCTGGTGTGAGATGTCAAGGTGGCTTCGCTGATTGAGACAGTGGAAAGATTAAAGAAATGACAGAAAAGAGCATGAGTAATACACTGGGCTTGGCATTTTTGCCCCAAAGCAAATTCTAAAGATAAAATCTGTATTCCCATGAGTTATGTTTGAGTTAGAAGAGGCTAAAATAAAGTCAGCGTGGGCAGATAAGTAGGCTGCAGACACAACTCCATTAACAAATCATATCAACCACCTCCAGTCGAGTCCATGGCTGCATTTGCACAACCCACAGGTGAAGCCTGAGGTAAGTAAGTAGGCAAGGTTTTCTGAGAAAGGAGAGGGAGTGTGTTTATTCATCCCTGCAGAGGAAGCAGCCTCCTCAGCGGGGAGATGGGGGCAGCTGCCTGCTGTTTCCAGCCAGCACTGAGAGCAGCTGCGGGAACCGAGCTACAGCAGGGCCTGCAGGGGAGCCACAGGGCTCCTGCGGAGGTGCAGGGTAGTAGACTGCAGAGCAACATGAGATGAGGACTACCGAGCACGGTTATGGAAATGCATACATCGCAGCAGGAATATCATTGGGTTTTGTCACGTGTATGTTGACAATTGGAACTTTCAGGAAGTGAGAAGAGGTGAGATACAGGGGACGGAGTACAGTGCCGCATGGAAATAATGGGCTATGCATCTAGATTTTGTCATCACCTCTATGTATGAATTTTTCAAATCACAGGCGAGTAATAATGTGAGGAACGCAGAAGAGAAGAACGTGCCAACAGAGCAATACTCCTCAGTCACTTCAGGACTGCAGCTGCTTGTTTCATTGATGTGAAGCAGGGAGAAGCCACAGACTGAAACATCTCCTCGCTTAGAATTTCTCTACACTCTGCCCATGAAGTCAGAGGATTATCTGATTAATTTAACCTGCAAGGTAATCTTCCTTGCTCTTATTGGACCTGGCACTGGAGGGAATTCCTTTTTGATTGTGAAGCATGTGTACATGGCCATCACGGATTTTCAGAAAAAGCCCACAAATCTTATTCTCATCCAGCTGGCTTTTGCTAACATGCTGATAATCTGTGCTGTAGGAATTACAGATAGATCAGTTTTTCCTTTCAGTGGCTTCCTAGGTAGTGTTGGCTGTAAAACTGTGGTTTACCTGGGAAGGGTGGCCCGGGGCCTTTCCATCTGCACCTCCTGTCTCCTCAGCATGGTCCAGGCCGTCACCATCAGTCCCAGGACCATGCTGTGGGGCAATCTCAAACCACGAACCTCATGGCAAATTCTTCCCTATCTTCTCCTCTGTTGGATCATTAATTTTCTGATAAGCTCCAACTTGCTGCACTATGTCACATCAGTCAGCAGCATGAACAGATCTGTGATTGGAATGCATGCTGGTTATTGTTATTTCCTGCCATCCAGGCAAATCATCAGGTGGCTTTTCCTCTCTCTCATGGCTCTTCGGGACGTCATCTTCCAGTGTCTCATGGGCTGGAGCAGTGGGCACATGGCTTTCTGTCTGTATGAGCATCACAAGCTTGTGCTCTACCTGCACAGCTCCAGGATGGCAAAGAATTCCAGCCCAGAAATCAGAGCTACGCTAAGCACTCTCATTCTCATGACCTGCTTCCTTTTCTTTTATTGGGCAGATTTCATTTTCTCCTTCTACATAGGGTCCATGGTAACACATGACTTCACAATCCTAAATATTAAAAAATTTCTAGGACTGGGTTACACAGTTCTCAGCCCCTTGGTGCTTATCAGCAGAGATGCCCATATGGTAAAATGCTGGCACGGTCACTGAGAAGCTGGGAAAACTCCCTGCTATAATTACTTCTCCAATAAGTAAAGATTCAACATTTCAATGTGATTTTTACTCAGGCAGATATTTTCCAGCATTAATTCTGGGTGTCTTATAAGTGTAGGATACTTATACAAGCCCTTTAGAAGCATACACCAACATACAACACGATGTGATTAGTGCAAAGCCCTGTGAGAGACAGCAGCCTGAGCCATCACCCGACCACCATGGGACAGAGGGAGGAAGGTCAGGGAAGCACCCAGGTCACCATGCTGTGTAGGCTAAATTAAACATGGGGTCAGGAGCGCAGTTTTACTCTCAGAGAAATTCTAGGCCTCTCTGAACTTATGCTATTGTCCTGTTGTATTGTTATTATGTGTCTTCTTTTCCTTGACGCACTTATGAATTGGCTGGGAACAGTTGATGGCAAATTTAGCCCCACATTGACATAGCTTAGTGTTTTAGAACATAATTGCTGGGCTCCTGGCCAAGTTCTCTGAAAACATTCATGAACCAAATCCATATGCTCCTGGCTGTCAGCAACACAGATGATCATATTTTATTTCTTATTGTTAAAAAGTTGCTGTTGCTGAACAGCCTGAGTCTGTATCTCTAATGTCCCTAAAATGACTATGTTCTTCTAATCTATTTTCAGCATTGCTCTAATGTGTCATTTTTCTTCATGCCTGTGTAATTATTGAGCCATGTCTCTTCAGAATAGAAAAGGAAAGTGACCAGCAGGAAAAAATACATATGTTAGAAAAGCAAAACTGCATCATGAATTTCAAGTCAATAGTGCGCACTCTTTTATTAATCAAAAGATAGGGCTCTGTTAGCTTTACTTGCTAGATAGGGCACCTGGGAATTCTGTCTTTTTGCAGCATAGTCTGGAATCTCTAAGTAGGAAAAATGATCAATGACATTGATCAGTTACTGAGTTGCCGTGGCCAGGTGCACCTTGGTGTTAGGACCAATGCAAGCAGACAATGTGCAAGAGGAAGAGATGGAAACAACAACAACAAAAAGAACAACAACAACAAAGATACTTATCACTCTAACTCCCAAAGTACACAAACATAAGTTTGACCTCTAAAGCTACCCATACTTAAGGAATATCCAACAAAACACTTAGAAGTTTCTGTTTCACCAAGTGTTTGGCAAATCTTTTACATTTGACAGGACAATGGTGCTGAGGCTCCAAGAATCAGGGCTTTCATACATTGCAGGAAAAAAGACTATTGGCCAAGCATTACGATTAGCAATTTGACAATAAATTTAGAAATATTTACAGTTTGGCTCTGTGATTGTTTTTCTGTTTAGGAAGAAATATTGTACCTACACACACTAAAGTGAAAGAGGATCAATATCTATAATTTGCACTTCCGCTTGTTTGTAACTTCAAAGACAGAAAGCAGGCATTTCTATCAATAAGGAACTAAGTTACATGAATTAGGGTGCATCAAACAGTACAGTGCTGTGCAGCCTGCAGAAGGATAAGGTGTTTTGTGTACCAGTAGATAGAGATTGCCCTATGATTTCACCAAGGGAAAGCAGAGGGTGCCTGAAAACTTACACACTTGCTATTGTTCATGTGAAGGAGTAAACATTGAGTGATGTGTTTCTAAAAGAGAAGATACACATGAGGCACAGCATACACTACACACATACTTGGCAAGTACTAAATGTGGGGAGGACTATTCTACTGCATAGCATTGTACATTTTTAGAACATTTTAATGCTTAACTTACTGAAAAACTAAATAAGTTTAATCTACAAAAATGTAGCATATGCCCACACATTTTTCTGAAGTTTAAAGCATTGAAAAAAGAATACCAGGACCTGTTGCAAAATAAATTTTAAATAGAGTTCAAATGAATTAATTCCATGAGAAAAACACAACTCATTTCAACTGATAATAGAGATCTAAAGAATCTAAATCTTACATTTAGTAAATAAATTAAATTTATAAATACAACTTTTTGCCAAAATACAAAAGCAAAATTATTAACACAAGAGAATTCATTGTAGAATTCTTCCAACATTTATTCAAGAAAAAAATGCTAGTCTTATGCAACATCTTAAATGTGATATGGAAAAGAGAACTTCAGAAAATTTCCTTTTAAAAGTAGGATACCTTTGAAACAATCTTCCTTAAGGGACACAGTGGCATGCTATAAAAACCCTTCATGATTTTTTATACATACAAAGGAATACTAAATGGAAACGGTCACTTGATTTTTATAGAACCAGGACTAGCAGTGACCACTGATCTACAAAGCTTGCCCGCTGTGTGGTTACAATAGCCATGGGAAGCCCAGAATATTTCTTTCATTAGAATATCTACAGAGAAAAAGGGCAAGCCCTGGAGAGGACTGGCAATTAGACTTTACCCACATGTCATCATATGTGGGGTTAAACCTAATTGACACCTCTACAGGCTGGATTGAGGGCTTCCCTACCCATTCAGAAAAGGCTATATATACGCAGTCAAGGTGATCCTCAAAGAAACCATTCTCCAGGTTGGACTACCCCAGTCTTTAAGATGACAACAGGCCTTCTTGACTCTCAAATAACTCAGGGGGTGGCAAAGTCTTTATGAACAAAGTACCATCCCTATTTTGTATGGATACCTTAGTCCTCCAAAAAGATTAAAAGAATCAACCAGACCCTAATGTGAACTCTGGTGAAACTCTCCCAAGAGGCTTCTGAGATTTGACTCCAATTATTGCCAGTAGACTTCATGAGGATCCGAAACACCAAAAGCTGTGCAGAACACAGAATCCAAGATGATGCTACAATTTCTGAGCATTGTACACACAGCCAATCAGAAAGTGATATCTTCAATTCTTCATTTGCATGTAGCACAAAAGTAACAGAGGCTTCAATAGGACAGTTTAATTCTGACGCCAGGTCCAGTGAGTTTCTGACAGGACAACCACCCCAAATGCTTTATTTGCATGAGGGAGAAGCCAATTCTAGCACCCCCATTAATCCCTGTGGTTACTATGAGTCTGTTCACCAGCCACTCTCCCTCTGTAGAGTATATTTCCTTTCCATCGTCAATAAATGCAAATCTTTGCTATCTTTCCCATGAGTCTTGTTCAGTGCTTTCTTTGGGACAACAAGAACCTGGAAAGAATCTCTTAGGGATGCAAAAACCAGTAACACTAATCATTATTCTTGTTCTCCTGTGTCTCAGGAGGACTTGAAAAGATTGTGTAATTGGATTATTCTTTGTCTCGGGAGCTGGTTCCAATTCTGATTTACAGCTTAGAACATTGGAAAGTTAAAGGGGAAATACCCACAAAGTAGATCCCTAAGTCCAGTAACTTGACTGCACATTCTTCCACTAAAATAACCCCAATTCCTAGAGTGGCAAACAAGCAGGAATGCTCTATAGTTTTGAAACACACACACACACACACACACACACACACACACACGCATATATGGAAGAAATATTATTTAAATTACCTCAAAATGTTCTAACAAGATGATGAGAAGTGCTTCTTTTTATACTGGGAAAATGAATAAATGTTTTTCAGTTTGTGCTTTCCCTTACATATGTATTGTAACTCCCTCATTCCCTCTGTGTCTGTGTATTCCTATTCAAAATTATATAATGGAAGTCATACTCATATCCCAAGGCAGTCCTTTCATTTATGACACAAGCACTTTAGTCCCTCTATCTGGTCAGGTGCACTTCCGACTACTAAGGATAGAGTCATCCAGGAAACAAAGGGGACAGCATTCACCAGCGCCTACCTTGCTGAAGACCTCAGTGCTGTGTTTTGCAACTAGAGAAATGGTGCTTTTGTCAACTCCAATTTCAAGCCTGTGCCCACTTTTTATTATGTTCCTTTATATCAGGACTAAAATGTTTCTTCTTGGCAGCTGAGTGAATAATACAAGAACAATCCTTGGGTACAAATGAATTATGAAAATTTACATTGGAGAATTAGTTTTATGAATGGCAGGGTGGGTCCATCTTGTTTTTCTATTCCAATGTTTTGTTTGATACACAAGGAATAAACTAATCAAATAGGTTGAAGAACTGTCAGTGTGCATGGGCAGAGCAAGGTGAAGTTGTCCTGCCAGAGTGCAGGTTGGGACTTGCTCACAAAGCAGAGTCCCCAGTGCTGATCTTCGTTTATTAGAGCCCTGTGTCTAAAGGGCTAAGAAGGAAAGGGAAGAGGCTTACTCTTCTCTCAGAAGCTGATCTCCATTCTGAGTCACAGCTGGGAGCTTTGGGAAGACAAAGAGGGTCCTGGGGGATTGGGACACTTGGACAGTTTTTCACTTTTTCTACTGCACACACAGCCTATTGGAGTGATTGGCTCCTAATTGGGACTGAGACAACTTCTGAGCCAAATGACGTAATAGTGGAGTGCCGGGGGGAGTTGCACACCAAGGACTGAGGTTCTGCAGAGGGTTTTCTTCTCCCTGACAGGTAACAGCTGTGAAAATTGAAGTCCTCTATGGTGGCCAAAAGCTCTGCAGTCCTGAAGGTACAAATGTGACTCAGCCCCCACCCCTTGCCAGAAGGACCAGTCAGGAGTCCATCTGCACCACAGCTGCCAAGGAGAGTGGACTTGAGCAGTCTTTGACACGCACCACATCACTTTCTCAGACACACAAATTTGCTGTCTTTCCCCTGGAGCGGGTGAGGGTGTCTATGGGTAATGGCCCCTCCATTGTCCCAACTGGGGCTAAGATGAAAGAGATGAGGACCAGCAGCTGTCACAAGAAATGCTTGGGCATCTCTGTCCTTCCACTCAGGTGTGAGAATCATCACCGAGCTCTGGGGTTGGTCTTTGCATAAGATGCTCACCTTGCATTCTAAAAATTCAGGAAGATAGGAAGCCTTTAAAATTACCATGAAAATTCCATTGCCTTCATTTTACAATTTTATCTGCACCAGTATTTCCCCAGCATTGTGAGCTATAATAAAATTCTTCATTTTCTTTTTGGTGCATTTCTATATTTTCAGCACAATACATCCA